TAGAACTACTATAGATATTTACAAGTGTCAGATCATTAAACAAATAAAAGAACTTAATTTATAATCAACATAACCTATATTTTACAACATAAAGTAAAAGAAACCAAAACAGTAACTTGTTTGGAAATTTTTAATTATTTAATTTCTGTAACTTTTTCGGTATAAACAATAAAAATGACATTTATTTTTGTGGAAAAAACATAATTGCGCTCACGATTCGTAGAGAAATCGTAAATAATAATTATGTCCACAAATAGTGATGCACGTTTAAATGAGAATATTGATCATATCACTCATCTCACTTTGCTCGTAAGTAATTATCCAAATTGAGAATCTCAATATTTCTTATATTTTGATCCAATATGGCGGAAGACAATTTTAAAACTTTATCGCATTTGCTTAAAATTTGTTACTCGACGATTTTTGGAGTCTCTCATTACGTTTTGCACATATATCTACTGTTTTGCCATTATTGTCATCTAAATTAGTTTGATTGATGCAGTTGTTATACATTTTAAATCTGAGAGATATATGCATGGATTATGCACGGGAAATATTAGTTTATTGAAGTTATATTATAGCATTTTTTTATTTCCGGGGAGAAGAGGAAAGTGCTTTTAACACATACCCAGGAAACTCCCATTTCGCTGGGGTATATCATCCACCGGGCTCAGCACAAAATGCAAGGAAAGAAAAGTAACCTTGCATACCTGCTTTAGGCAGTCACCAATACCGACTAAAAACCTCTTCTTGATTCCCCTGGGTTTCGAAACTTCTGTCCACCTACGAAACTACCTTTCGGCTTTAGACTTCCAGATGAATGGTCTCGTTTAGTCGCTGACGCGACTCTTCCGTACCACTCTTATCCTGCCCTTATTTTTTCCTTGTTCTTGAAAAAGCCTTCTTTGCTTCCTCTAGGGCAGTTCTGAAAACTCTGCATCATCCTGATCCAGCGACATGTTGGATATTCTCATTTTTGCCTGGCATAAGAAGCTGCATGGACTCTTTTTCCAATCTGTTACCTTATGACCTTATGATTGATTGTCTCCACCTATATGGCCGTAATCAAGGCACCTATGACAACTTGTGACCATAACTCTTCTTTTAACTTTGCAGGACACGTAACCAATCTTAATGTGACCAATTTTCTCCAGCTTATCAGCGTCCTCTTGGCTGGTGATCACCATAGCGAGCTTTACTTCTCGCTTATTTGGTCCAAGGACCATCATCTGCCTTCACCTTACCTAAAGCTCCAATTAACTTCACCTCATTCACCTCCTCGGTGAATGACGCCTTATTTGAATCCCCTCCAATTTTAAAAAGGAGGTCTCCTTTTCTAGAGGGTAAAGCTCCCACAACCCTTGTCTGCCTGGCCTCCAGGTCATTAGTATTAGTATTGGTATTGGTATTGGTATTGGTATTGGTATTGGTATTGGTATTGGTATTGGTATTGGTATTGGTATTGGTATTGGTATTGGTATTGGTATTGGTATTGGTATTGGTATTGGTATTGGTATTGGTATTGGTATTGGTATTGGTATTGGTATTGGTATTGGTATTGGTATTGGTATTGGTATTAGTATTAGTATTATTATTAGTATTAGTATTTTTTTTTTTTGCTTAGGGACTTTTGGGAAATCTGCCTACAGATACCTTGCATTCCGCACTCCAAGGTTATGTGGGGTTGGTATGATAAAAAAAACAAAAGGAAACTTTATATTCGTAATAAGCGACCCCAAAAACTCCAGAGTAACACATTTTAAGCAAAATGCGAACTAAAACTATCGGGAACACGTTTTTAATACCTTTGATGACTTGGAAAAATCGATATCACAACTAAAATTGGATCTGAAAAAAATTCTTTTCCAAAATTTTTGATTATTTTTTAATAAAATAAGTGTTAATGTCACTTTTTGTAAATTTTGACTGTTTGAAACAGTGACCCCAAAAACGTATGGATATGTCCTTGTAGGATTTTTAATAATTTATTTCTTTTAATATTAAGAGCTTGCAATCGAAGTTGAAAATCAAAACATATAATAGGGCCTATAATAGCCCCTTCATGTGTAACATTATGTTACGTCAAAATGCAGGTCACATTTTACATATTTGCCCTTCAATTGGTCTACAATTACCCTTACATATAAATTTAAGTGAAATCAAACCCTTTTTTAAGGTAAGAGCGTGATAAAAGCAATTAATGTTAACAATTAATGTTAATAGTGTTTAAACCTACCTTCAAAGTTATTCAAAGTCTACTTCATAGTACAAAGGGTGAAGATAATCTTAATATAAGGTTTCACCCAGTAAAAAAAAAGTATTCAGAATAGAGAAAAAGTATTGGTGGAGACGTTCGGTGAATGCGTTTTCGCGACAAAACCGTATTGGTGGGTTACGGTTTAATCATCATACGTTGTAGGCACAGAAAAGCATATGGTAATTGATCAACATTTGACAATCTGTTTGTCACATTTAATTTTTCGTTTTTTTTTTTAAATTTCTTATTTCCTTCTCGCAATAGTCATTTTTATACTTCAGGTCACTTACGCTCTTTATAAATATTCTCAACTTTGCTTAGGAATCTTTAAATCGAAAGTTTTTAAAAAAAGTATTCACGGTAAGCAAAATGTATTCACCGTAACCCACCAATACGGTTTTGTCGCGAAAACGCATTCACCGAACGTCTCCACCAATACTTTTTCTCTATTCTGAATACTTTTTTTTTACTGGGCAGTCAATACAGTTTTGTTCTAAACTGACATCTGTTTTTACAAAATTCTATTAAAATTAAACATTAAAATAAATTCAAATAAACTTTAAATTACATTTTAAAAAATGTAAAAAAATATTGTAAAAAGCAAAAATCTTAATACTTATTTTCTAAGAAATGGTTTTTTTAAAGTAATAAGAATTATACAGTTATTGTGACCAAAGAAAATCAAAATGTAATTAAATCAAGATGAAACAAAGTAAGGAATAGGGGTTATTATATATCCATTGTTTGTTAGTCCTCCTCTTTAATACAATTTAATTGAAAAGAGGAATATTTATTTGATAGAAATATATATTCATTTGTATTATTTATTCTTTTGTTGCAAAATTATTTATAATTATTATTGCCGGTAGACTACTTTGACCACTGAGCTACATGTACACCGAAATTCTTCGAGTTCCTCGATATATACCTACTTCTTATATTACTTAATGGTAATGTAGGAAGTTCAAAGGTGTTAATAAACCTTCTGTAGATTCATAGGGAAATTATAATTAAAGGAAAGGAATTTATCATTCGGTATGATCAAATTAAATTTAAGTTTAGGAATATTTTGGGAATTCTCAGTTGGGGCAAGTTGGGTTGACCCGAACTTTGTCCAAGTACACTAAAGAAAAACAATTTTTTGAGTTTTTTACAGTTGCGCCTTTTTGTTTATTTGTTCAGCAAGCTTTGGGACGGCCAGTTTGGACCACATTGCCCTTACAGTATCGAGATATTTCAGGATATGCCTGGGACGTCCTGGAGATATCCATTTGTTTTTGGCGGTTCTGATATCCATAGTATATCCTCCATATATTCACGGACATCTCTATGATATCCCAGGGATATCCAAATCGACTAAAGTTTGTGATTTTATTAGTAAAATTTGTGACTTCAAACATTAATTCTAGGGCTTAAAAATTATTAAACTTTATTTTTCTACCAGAACCATTCACTTTTGTTAACTCCTTTAAGAAATATTAGGGTTTGAACATATTTTCAGAAAAAGGCACACTGTGCGCCACTTTTGTGCATTTGGAATAAAAAATATCATAAGTAACATATAAACAAATAGCTGCCCTTGTTTCCTTGTCGTTTAATATACTATTTGTGGTTTTCTGTTGTTGAATTTGTAATAATACATATATGAGAATAATGCAATTTATAAAATTCATAACATGAAATTGTTCTGAGAAAGCAAAGTGTTTATAAAATTAACTCAGAAATTGGAGTTATAACTTTGCAGTTGTTTTATTTTTAATTAGCGAAAAACAGTTTTTTTCAGTTTCTCATAATCTATGTGCCGGAAACTTTTTATCGTAATATAGTAATATAATATATATTATTATATAATTAGTATTATATTCTTATATACTTAGGTGTATATTATAACATACAAGGCAATGTTGCTTCAATATTGCATAAAAATTTCCAGACAAAGCAACATTGACCACAATATTGAGCTCAAATGATATTCTCGATGGACCGTAGAAGGGCACGTAAATTTTTCTGGGCTGAAATCCGAGCCGAAATCAAAGCTCTCCTGGACACTTAAAATTCAACTTTTGAGTTTAAATATTTTTAATGCATATCCTTATAGGAAATGCCATTGCACATATAAAATATTTGAATTACCAATAGAAATTTAGATTATTCATGAATGTTACTAATATTTATGAAATAATTGTACTTATATAATACATAGTTGTTTCTGAGGAAAATACAAATTTTTAAAATGATAGTAATGAATGTTAGTGCTGTGAATATATGAAAAGAAAGTAATTCTATGACACATAAAAAATTAACCGCAATTCTAATTAATCACAGAATCCTGTAAAAACATGTTCCTTTTGATTTAATCTATTAAATTGCAGTTAAATTTCTAGTTGATTTATTTTCCAAATAAAAAATAATTATGTCTATATGTACGATCGTGTTTATTTAATGTTAGACGAAAAGAGCAATAATTTAATTTAATTTCGATAATAATATGCCAACAACCATATCGATATAATTATCACATGATGAATACCTAACTCTAAACAAAAGAGTTTAGATGACATCTAATAGATGTCATTAAATGCTGACAAAGTCGAATACTTCCGTCGTAATTAAAATAAAAAGTGTTTATTATTTTCTGATTATTTTCAATTTGGTCTGAAATGTTAATTAGTTTTCATTTTCATGATTGGTTGCATAATCAGTAATATAAATATTATGATAAATTTTGATTGTTTAGTCTCACCTCCGCGGTTTTCACTGTCCGCTGGTTTCACTTGAATAGGACGGTTCATCTGAAATAGAAAAATAAATATTGTTACTTACATGTTGTTAAGGTAAGTAAAGAGTAAGAGAGTCAGAAAATGCAAATTATATATTTTATGCCACTATTAATGACAACACAACATTTGATTTATTAACTATTAAAATATTTTCCAAGACTTTAAAAAACATTATTCATAAACAATAACATCAAACATATAATTAATTTATTATTAATTATTAAATAATAAGTATATCATAATAATATAATAATAAATTATTACTAACTAATTAAAATACTTTGTTATTATTTATAGTATTATTATATACAGGCAAACCTCGCTACGGCAGACTTCTATACGGCGGAAACTCGCCAGGTAGAAGTAGAAGGGATTATATCAGTAAGAGTTGTGACTGTGTGAGTGCCATAAAATTCAGGGCCGAAAAGTTTTGAATTGTAATTTTTATATGGATGTTTTTTTATTTAAATTATTTAATTTGTATTTGATTTATATTTTTTGTTTATTTTGTGATATATTTTATATATTATAAAAAATAAACATGAAGAATAATAAAATAAATAGAATAACAAATCAAAGTAATTTTAAAAAAAATAATTATATTTAAAATTCATCGCAAAAAATTAAATTATTTTTTATAAATAATAAAATTCTCCTGAGAAATTCAATTATTTTCAATACAATTTTAATAAACTTTAAAAATCAAATATTAAAAATTACCTATTAACAGACACGATTATTTTAAAAAGTTGAAAAAATTCTTTGTATAATTCAATTACTTTCAAAATTTTCAATTATAACTATTAAAGAAACTCCATTATTTAAAAAAAGTTTAAAGATATTCTTCAAAAGAATTTCATTAAGATTTTTATAAATTTTAATTAAATTTTTCGCGATAATTCGATTATTTTCATAAATAATAAAATTCTGCGAAGGAATTCAATTATTCTCAAATTTTTTGACAAAATTCTTTGCAAGTATTCAATGATTTTTAATACATATTTTTAAATAAGCTTATTAATAAATAATTATCATAACTTCTATTTCATATTTAAAGATCATATGATTTAAAATGGTTGATACATCCCTGACACGGTGTGTCTAGTCAAAATTAAATGAAAAATGATATTACCTCAAATTTTTTTGTTGATTCTGTATCCTAGCCCTATATAGACATATCTTATGAAGACACGAAAATTGAGGCTCCCAATTCAAGAACCGGTCGGACGCTCGGAAGACACGCGCTAGTACCAGTCGGGTAGCAGTGACCCAGTGAGAAATTGCCAATAGACTTTAATCGGTCCAATATTGGTTGCCGTGCTGAGCACCGATTGACTCCCAATATTGGACCAATATGGGCTGATGCTTGAGATGTAACGGGTTCGCCAAGCATCGGTTGTTAATATTGGTCCAATATTGGCCGAATATTGGCAACCAAGAGAAAAAATTTATTTAAATAAATTTTTAATTAAATAATAATAATAAAAATGTAATGTTTATAATTTTTGTTTAATATATTTATTTGTTTAATTATTTATTTTTAATAATTCATGTAAATAATAGGGGAGAGGTACGCACGTTGAGACGGGTTCTGTTTTTCAGTTATAATTTTTAAAAAACAAAATTTAGCGAAAAATTCGAAATACTTTCTTAAAAGTATTGTCCAGGGCTACAACATTGCCAAAGAAAGTTATTTTTTTGGACAAAATTGAAAAATTTATAGCTGATTTTTTAAACATGTTATTTTTGACCAAAAAAAAAGTGGTACGCACGTTGAGACACCCATAGTAATTTATTTTAAATTGAAACAAAATGAATAATTACGTCAGATTCTAATTGTTTGTTGTTTATTTACTTATTTTGATGGTTTTAGCTCAAAGAAAAAAAATTAAAACATTAAAAATTAACTTAAAAAAATAATCAAAAAATAAAATTTTATTTTGCACAAAAATAATTAATCGAAATTTTTATATATTTTTTATCAGTTACACAGGTTATAATATCTTAGTGTCTCAACGTGCGTACCTCTCCCCTAAATAATTTATTATTTATAAATTATAATTATTTAAAAATGCAGCAGCTATTAGGAAATAGCATTCTGCAAAAAAATTCTATCATTGAAAAATCAATGATAGGCGAGAGATATCTGCGTCATTAAATAGATTCGCAGATGATAGGCAAGAGATATCCGCGTCATTAAACAGATTCACAGATATACTCTGGTCTCGCGACGAATCTCTCGATACTTATATACACTGGAGTCGCCGTGTCAGTTGCGAGAACGGTTACAGCATCCCTCTTTCGGCAGATATAAGAATTGTCACGTAAACTGCTAAATCGCTTTACCGACGGCCTTATTATACCCGCAGTTTACGTGACAATTCTTATCTCTGCCGAAAGAGGGACGCTGTAACCGTTCTCGCAACTGACACAGCGACTCCAGTGTATATAAGTATCGAGAGATTCGTCGCGAGACCAGAGTATAGGTATCTGCGAATCTATTTAATGACGCGGATATCTCTCGCCTATCATTGATTTTTTAATGATAGAATTTTTTTGCAGAATGCTATTTCCTACACGGAGAAAATTTGTTCCTTATATTTTACCGAATTTTTCAATAAAGTTGGGATATAGTAGCATAATCGTAATTTTTAATAATTTTTATATTATTTTTTCGGTAACAATATTTAAAATCTAATGTTATATCTTTATCCCTTAAGAACTAGTAATGTAAAAGTTGAAAAAAAATTGAAACTGAACGTTTAATGTAAATTAAATAAATACCTCCTTGACGGGCACTAACGTTTCAGGAATAGTTCGGTAGAACTTTCTTGACTTGCCTAAAGTGTTAGTTTTCAGGAATAGTTCGGTAAAACTTTCTTGACTTGCCTAAAGTGTTAGTTTTCAGGAATAGTTCGGTAAAACTTCCTTGACTTGCCTAAAGTTTTAGTTTTCTGGATTAAAATACTTTATTTCAAGTGTCCCGCAGTCAAATGAAAGACTTTCACACTAATAGTTGATTTTTCCAACTTATTTAGACTTAATTAATAATCATTTTATTATTATTTAAATTAAAATTCAATTAATTAATTATTTTAAACACTTATTAATTGCCAAATATGTAATAAATGCTTTCAAATCATATAAAAAGAAAATATAAAATAGCAATAACATACTTATTTTTTAAACATATAATTTATTCATTTTAATTAAACATGAATAATAGTAAGTAAGTAAGCAAGTAAGTAAGCAAGTAAACATAAGTAAGTAAGCAAAAAGGAAATAAATAAGTTATCAATTAAACATATAAGTAAGTATGTAAGTAAGTAAATAAGTAGGTAAGCAAGTAAGCAAAAAGGAAATAACTTGCTTGCTTACTAGCTTACTTTCTTATTTGCATACTTACTTGCTTATTTCTTTCTTGCTTACTTTGCTTACTTACTTACCTACTTATTTGCTTACTTCCTAATTTCCTTCTTGCTTACTTGCTTGTTTCCTTTCTGCTTACTTACTTCCTTATATGCTTACTTGCTTACTTTCTTATTTCCTTCTTGCTTACTTTACTTACTTGCTTATTTCCTCCTTTCTTACTTTGCTTACTTGCTTATTTCCTACTTGATTACTTACTTTCTTATTTGCTTACTTTCTTACTTGCTTATTTGCTTCTTGCTTACTTTATTCCTTATTTGCTTACTTGCTTATTTCCTTTTCGCTTTTTAATACCTCACAATTATTATTTAATATTTCAGAAAGATTAATTTTCTATTAATTAATTTAATAATTTCCAACTTGCACTTTTAATATGTATATTTTTAATTTTAAACACAAAAATTTGAGAATAATAAGGATTTTCATAAATTATTGTTTTATTACATTAAATACAAATTTAAACATTTTAATTATAATAATAAAAACATAATTTAAAAATATTTCATAAATTGACCTTGAATATAGTTAGAAATGATTCATTAATATAAATAATTTTTAATTTTGTACAACGATAGTTTATTAATTTGAATCTTTCTCACAAGCGGTGAAATAAAATTGAGATTAATATATAAGGACAGTTGAAACTTTCTGAAGCATTAATGTAAAGCGTGCGATGTGTGTATTAGTGTATGCGTTTAGAATGTACTGTAGGCAGGTGTATCAATTAGTATTTGTTCGTAAACAATTTTAGGGGGTTTAGGTAGTGATTAAAGTAGGTTAATTGAGAGTTACGGCAGTATTAATATAGATCTACTGAAGTAACATTATTTTTTATTTTTGTTCTTCAAGTTTTACCGAACTTTCAGTAAATTGCAACTCGTCAGTTTTACCGAAGACTTTATCTTACGTTTTACCGAACTATTCAATAAATTGCAACTCGTCAGTTATACCGAAGACTTTATCTTACGTTTTACCGAACTATTCAATAAATATGAATGTAGCGAGCACTTGGCTTACGTTTTACCGAACTGTAAGTGAAGCGCTAATACATGTATCGTGAGCTTTATGATTTTTACATTATTTTTCAATGCAATTTCTTTTACAGTCTAGTTCTTGAAAAATTACTGTTTTGACACTTCATCCCAGTTTTACCGAACTAAATTCAGTAAAATTTCAGGAATAAATTTTCTCCGTGTAATAGTTGCTGCATTTTTAAATAATTATAATTTATAAATAATAAATTATTTATTATTTACATGAATTATTAAAAATAAATAATTAAACAAATAAATATATTAAACAAAAATTATAAACATTAATTTTTTATTATTATTATTTAATTAAAAAAATTTATTTAAAAAAATTTTTTTCTCTTGGTTGCCAATATTCGGCCAATATTGGACCAATATTAACAACCGATGCTTGGCGAATCCGTTACATCCCAAGCATCAGCTCATATTGGTCCAATATTGGGAGCCTTTATTGGACCGATGATTAGTCTCTTGGCTCCCAATATTGGACCGATATTGGACCGGTAAGAAATTTCTCACTGGGGAGTGGCCCAGAGGCGCTCACTGCTCACT